TAATCCTGAATTAAAACTCTATGGTACAAATACCTAGGAATAATATTCGACAAGAAATTAAGACTTGATGGTACATAAGTGCCTCTCGTAGACCCATACAAATACCTAGGAATAATATGCGACAAGAAATTCTTTCGTACCACATAAAATATCTCTGTGAGAAATGCAATAAAGCAGTACAACTACTCCGAGTCATCTCTCACAAAGACTGGGGAGCTGACAGACAAACGTTTTTTTTTTTCTTTCTTTGTGCTGTATCCTTTCAGGACGTAGGCGATCATGGCTCTCCACCTCCCTTTATCCCTTGCAGCTCTAAACAAGTTCCTTCCCTCTGCTTCCTCCCCCAGACCACGTTCTATCATACACTTGCTTAAGCCCGCTAGGTATGTCATGTGTTGTTTTCCCTTGTCTCTCTTTCCCTCTGTTCAACCCGTGAGTATCAGATTCTCCAGGCCTCATTATGTATCCCAGGAACTTCAGCTGCTTCTTTCTGATGTTAAGTATAAGCCTCCTCCTTGTTTTCATCCTCTCTAAGACCTCATTGTTACTCACACACTTGGTCCATGATATCCTTAGCATCCTTCTGTAGAACCATATCTCTGTCACCTCGAGTCTCTTCTTCATCTTTGAAGAAATTGTCCAACATTTGCTGCCATAAAGAAGAACAGATGTCATGTAATAGCTCAGTATTCTTTTCTTTGTTACCAATGAAGTCCTGATGTCTTGCAATACTGTGCTCAGCTTTTAGAATGTGTCCTTGGCCATCGCAATATGTCTGCGGATCTCAGTGTCACACTTACCATCTTTTGTCAAGATGCTTCCCAGATATTTAAACTTCTGCATCTGCTTGATTCTGGTGTTCTCAACCTGCAAATTGCATTTCAGGCTCATCCTTCTACTGATGACCATGCATTCTGTTTCTTGTAGTTTATGCTTAGTCCCTTCTTCACACTCTCTGTCATTACCTTCTGTAGAAGATTTTGTAATTTCTTTTCCGTGTCTGCTATCAGTACTGTGTCATCTGCGTACCTTATGTTTGTTGCCACCAATGCTAAATCTCAGTAGGGTTTCCAATTCTTTCAAAATTGCTTCGCTGTATAGGTTGAACAGGTCAGGTGAGAAGACGCATTCTTGCCTTACACCCCTTTCTATTTTGGTATATTCACTAAACTCATGCATGCCGTTTTCTGCCAGTATAGATTATTGATTATTCTGATAGATGCTTCTAAAACTTTATCAGACATTGCTTAGATCCAAATTGGATTATGGATGCTTTATCTATGGTGTGGCAAGAAAATCATATGTGAAAGAACTTAATACCATCCATCACCAGGGCCTGCAACTCATTCTAGGTGCCCCCTATAGTACATCTCTAATAGAAAGTGTGTACGCTGAATCACATGAGCCACCTTTGGCATTAAGATAATATAACTTAGCATTACAATATTACATCAAACTATGTTCATGCCAATTAATTCTGCATACAAGAGTGTTATCCAACCTCAATATAAAGAACTAGCAGTAGAGCCCGGCGTTGCCCGGGGATGTAACAGTAAGTGATAGATCAAGTATTGACCATCATAAAGACTAAAAAATAAAATTGACAAAGATTATTGTTTAAGGTTGACGGACACGCATGTCTTAATTAGTTTTTTTTTTTTTTATGAATTGGTCAAACCTAAACTCAAAACAAAACATTGTTTTCAATCGTTATGAGTCTACCAATTGAATAGAATTTTATTATAAACAATTGTCTTGTAAATGGAATTTTTAAAGCATTCTGAATGTAAAAATAAAAGAAAAAAGTGTGTAAGACAATAAGAAACACTACCTGCCAAAAAAAGTGAAGTTTTGTTGAAATCGGTTGAAAAATGTAGGAAATCTGATCCCATATATAAACGAACACACACACAAACAAACAACCTGGGTTTTATAATAAGTATAACTCAATATGAGTTGTCCCCCTTTCATTAATGCCTCTTAATCGTGTTTTCAAATTGATTTCGTGCAAAAACAATTGCGTTTTTCCAATTTTTGGCACTGTCAGAACCACTGCAAGGTAATTTTATGTAGTCCTGTGAAGTTTAGTTGAAATCGGTTGAAAAATGTAGGAAGTCCAATCCAATATATAAACGAACAGACACACACAACTTGGGTTTTATAATAAGTATGATTATGTAATTTAAAAGAAACTGCTATTAATCTCTACCCTGGTGTAGACATGTATAAACGATTTTACCAAGTGTCTTTTTCAGACATGAACAAACATGTCCAAAACCAGCTACAGACATGTTTATATGTTAATCTTGATTCTTTTCTGAGCCAGAAATGAGTCCAATTGTCAACTCATGTGTCTGGTAGACGTGTTAGTCACTGCTTGGGTACTTCATGGTACCTCGGTTTCTTAGTTACAAAGTTAAAAATAAATAAAAAAAAATAATTGGTGGGGAAAGGGTTAAACCCTTTGGCATCCACATAAAGAACAATATCAATATTATGTCTTTATTGCTTTGAATGAAGATAACAATTAAGGAGTATGTCACTTATAGTCAACATAGTCTTGCTGAAATTGGTAGTAAGCAGATAAACTAGATCTCTAACTCTCGACTTGGAATGAGATATCAGAGGGACAAGTTCAAATTCTAGTCAGGTTCGTTACATTCCCTTACCTGCAAATACCTTTGGAAAAGGTATGAATCTATTTCCACTCCATATATGGGTTAAATAATATTTATTCTTAAATAATTCTTTATACAATACTCGGTAGCAAAAATGAATTATTCTTACAATCTGAAAGATGTTTTGGCTTTTAATATTTGTTATATCTTCATTGCCTTGAACGAAGATAACACAATAATTAGTATGTCGTTTGGAGTTGATGTAATCTTGCTGAAATAGGTAGTAAGCAAATAAACTAATTCTCTACTTGTTTAATCCTTCTACTGACGATTCACAGTGTCCGAATTTATGTATTTGGATGAGTCCAAGTCCTCTTCTGAGGAGGTGTGTTCATCTCCACAACAATCAATGAACTCAAAATAAATACTTCTCTAATACATGAAACTATTCTTTCAAAAACTCGTCCTGTTTAATGAAACACCTTGCTGTACTATTAAGTCTGGTAAAAGGCTCCAAAACTGAAACTAACACAGCTGTCTTGATGGAAGAAATTCATAATGTCTTACAAAACCACATAAATTGTAAGCACATATACAATGATGGCTTCAAAAATATTGATAGAGTTGAATATTCAGCTATATTGAATGAAACAATATTTCAAATGCACCTACCTGACAAATCCTCAGTTTTTAGTGCAGAAGTCTTGCCAATATACTTACCTTGGATATGATCACAGATGGTGAGTCAGGCAGATTCATTATATTCTCAAACTCCCTGTCTATACATACATCATTGATGTATAACAATCTAACCAATCGTCTAATAACCAAAATTTAAACAAAAACATGTCATCTTCTGCAGGATCCCTACCTATATAGGTGTTATGGGAACTTACCTATAATGATAATGGATTCTTCCTGACACTATAAATACTGCACCTCTCAAGAGGTATAATGAATGAATGGTGTAACGAGTCGAGACAATATTAGTTCACTCTAAACCAGACGGACAGTCATTACTAACACCTTCAACTTCTTGTACTATATTTCTGTTGTAATATATCTTTATTATTCTACTCTTGTGTTCATGTTGTTCTTCCTTGGTTCTAACCTTGGACCATAACTGTGGTGCGAGGATATTGGACCATAACAATAGGTATCCAGGGAAATGGAAAGGCAGATATGGCAGCTGAAGAATCATTAAAAATGAACATATCAAAAACAAAAGTCCCTCACACTGATTACAAAATGGCTGTTAATACATCTTAAATAAGTGGCAAGAGTTATGGAATACTCACCCAAATAATAAATTATGCAAAATCAAACCTACATTTCGGATAAGACATGAGTCTTTCCTGAAGAGAAGTAGTAGAATTGGTCATACCAATATTGTACGTTCATTCCTTCTAAAAGATGAGAATCCACCTCAATGCATCGTATGCCAAGAGACATACACAGTAAAATATTTTATGTTGGACCGAATTTGACTATCTGTAAACGGCTTTATAAGATGAATAGCCTTAAAAAATTTTCAAAAACATTAATGTAAAAACCATTTTGACCTACTTGAGGAAAACTAAATTATACACTAAACTTTAACCAAGACAACTTAACCTATAGCTGAACAATACAACCAGTTTTCAACTACACAAATTATAAAACTTAAAACTTCCTAAAATATTATTGAATAAAAATCTGATTTTCAGTATTAAATGACCCATGAGTTTTGCTGGTAAAACAACCAAACCAAACCTCTACTCCTGTTCGAAAGACAGGGAAGGAGTGTAAACCAGTTGATAGGTGAACCTATCTACTCCTATTGAGGAAAAATTAAAAAAATAAATAGTAAATAAAAATTCAGAGTTTAAAAAATTTGATATATTAATATTACTAATGCTACTAGTGGTAATAAAGCAATTGAAATGAAGATGAAAGAAATCTTAGTCAAATATTAATAATGGCTAACAATGCGTCATCTAATAAAAAATTCCAGATAATATTACTACTACTACTACCAGTGGGAATAAAGCAAGTGAAATAAAAATGAAAGAAATTCTAGTAAAAAATGAATAATGCTTGACGATGCTTCCTCTAATGAAAATTGCAGATATTACTAATACTACTAGTGGAAAGAAATCAACTTAAATGAAAAAATACTTGTCAGAAATGAATAATGAGTTGTCAGTCGTTTTATCATTTCTTTTCTCCTTATTCACATTGAAGCAAAGTAATTTCCTGAAGATTTTTCTGTGAAAACAATTGTATGAAATTTATTGGCACCTTAATATTTTAACGTATTTTATTAGAATTGGTTACTGTAACTTTTTCATTATAATTGTTTAATTTTTTCATAAATATATTTCTTGCCCCTTTTTTTCAAAGTTGATGATGGAACTGGAGTCATCCTGTGCTGTATCTGGAAGGAGAGCAAGTACTTTCGTCCTGCCACAGGTAATTTCAGTTTTACTGGATATTTTTAAAGCCATATCATGGAATTGTAAAAGTTAGTCCCATGAAACCTTTTGATCTCAGATGTCGACTCATGATTGCCACTACATTTCATCATTGTCTATATATATTATTTTTGTGTTGATAAATCCTAAACTGACAACTGAAATGTTTTTTGGTCCTTTTTCAAGAATATGTTGCATCTAATGGTCAAAAGAAGTAATCTGATACTTTTTACTTTCTTGTCATTCCAATAAGATTGTTTAGTTATTAGGTACTTCAATAATTAAATGTGTAAGGTTTGTTACGGGAATATTTTGTAGCATATGAAATAATGGTGGTGAAGAGAGTATATGTGCAAAATAACATAACAATTGATTTGCAAGGCAAGATAGCATTTATTAAAACAAAATCAACAAAAGGAAAGTTTAAAACAAGAGTTTCTTTAGTTAGAAGTAAATTGCATACACAATGAAATGTTCATGAATATATTTGAGTGGGATTACTGTGTGTTTTAGTGTGAAGAGTTCACAGCCTTTTTAGCTACAGCATGGAAAATTCATGTCACCCGTTCGAAAGAGAAAAATCCAGAAGAGAGAGAGAGAGTTATTTTAGTGTTCATGTTCTTTTTATATTTGAGAGCTGCTGCTGATAAGGTTTATTTATGGCTGCTACTATGTTTAAGGACTGCTACTGATATTAAAGTCACTACAATTGTCATCAGAGTTTAACAGTCAGAAATCCAAAATTTGAAGTTTGGTATTTGCAAAGTGTGGTTGAAGAGAAAAATAGAAAATAAAATTTATTGTGCAGAGAGTGAGCTTACAATCTTCAGTCAACCAGCTCAAGACTGCAGCTTTTAATGAAGATGTCACTGCTGATTACTTAGTAGAGTTCTATAAAAACCAATGCTTTTACTCTCTAGTCAATTCTGTTGCCTGAATAACCTTTGTCACTCAGTTTTAGCCCCATTCAGGATTTTTGCCAATTGCTTGATTGTTGAGAAAGTCGAGTGGAAGAAAGAAGACGTGAAGAAAACTCAAAACGAACATTACTATTACTTAATTTAAACTACACTAAGAAATAATGGTTTAACACATTCAGCCATAATAGATGCACACCTACATATATAAAGATCTGACTATTTATACATACTTATATATTTCTTTACGAATATTTTCTATCATTAGGGTCATAGGAGCACCACAAGTAGTGCAGCTGCAGTAGTACTAGTGTTTCTTGGATAACCTGGTGGAGCCCAACCCTCTCCAGGATGGTTTTGAATTCAGAGCATTTCTTTCTAGACCAGTTGCCTAACAAGACTATAGGGCCTAGTTTGTCCTGCTATTTTACCCATAGCTAGGTGGGAAAGAGATGGATTCATTCATACCTTTTCCCAAAGTTATTAGCATGTAAATGAATATAATCAATTCAATTGGAGTTTGAACTCAGCTCTCTGACTCCATAATCCGATCTGCCATCCATTACTCCACTGTGCCTCCTTAGCATTCACATAGATCAGTGTTTTTTTTTAACCGTTGTGCTGCGGCAGGATTGTAGGTGTGTCACAAAAAGTTGTAAATGTCATTAATAAAATTATTTTTAAAAAGAAGTCCAAAGCACAATAAGTGTGCAAGGCAAGTTTTTCTGCAATAAACAATATTAAAACAGAAATCAATCTTGAGTAGAATCCTTGGGAAAAATTTAAGATTGTGCCTGTCGAAAATTCAACTTTACAAAGAAGATATTCTGAAATAATGACGCCAGGGTTAGATATTTCATTAAATGTTAAATTGTAATCAACCGAAAAATATAGTTTTCTATAAGAAATTTAATTACTATCTTTTATTACAAATTATATTAAAAAGTTTTGTTTGTGTTAATAAATATTTCTTTTTAATTTCTTTTTAACTCTTTTTTTTTTTTTTTTTGATTATTATAACTTAGGCATAGTCCATGAATCAGTTTCTACAGAAAGCCCTCTGCAAATGACTCACTCAAAACTATTAGATCTCTTCAGTAACATAACACATGCATAAAAAATTTTTTGATCATTATAATTTAAATATACTCAATGAATTCGTTTCTATAGAAAGCCTTCTACAAAACCTCTACAATCCTAGAAGTGGCAATTGACACCCCGAAAACTATTAGATCGCTTCAGTGATATAACATGCGGAAAAAAGATTTCCCCATAAAAAGTCTCAATTCAATTTTTATTTCTTGTCTTGTTGAGAAAAGACACAGGCCTGTCCGAAAACAAAGGGTAAAGATCTTTTCAATTTGAACGATAATTACTCTAGTTGTAAGAACTTGTCTTGGGAATCCAGCATAAGTATTTGTACGGATGGAGTCCCGTCTATATCCAAAAATGTAGGAGGGATTCTAAAAAAAACGTTATCTCGTTAAATTATAATAAACAAAAAAAATAAATGTAATTTCTTTTTTAAGAACTTTAATTATTATCTTTTCATTACAAACTATAAGAAATTGTTTTGTTTGCATTAATAAATAAATTATAAAAAGTTTACTTTTTTTTTCACTCACCATAATTTAAGTGCAGTATCAATTAGCAGCTTGGATTGAGGAATCAGAGAGTCAAGTTCAATGCATTCACTTGGGAAAGGTATGCATCTATTTATTCTCCCCAGTTATGGGTAAATAACAGGACAGATTGGGTCCTATAGCCTTGGTTGGCAGTCAGTCTAGGTGAAGGGAAACTCTGAATTCAAAAGCAGCTTGGAGAGGCTTGGGCTCTGTCAAGCTATCTTGCCTAAGACACACCACTTTTGCTGTGGCTGCAGTACATGTCGTGCCCCTAAGACAAAAAGAATAAACATTATTTATTAGATTATTTACAAGATTAATTTTATATTTATAACATTCTAAAAACTGAATTATGGTGTAGATTGAGTGGAAGCCCGAATGCATGCAGAATGTAAATTTTAAAATAAACAATCTCATAATGCATTTAATATTTTTTTGAAAAACATGGTTTCTTTCAACTTGAAATCTTGTTCTTTTTCAGAAATATCAAAGCCGAATAATTATCTTCCAGATCTGATCAGTTATCTTCCATCTTCACTGGTGTGTAAAGTCCAGCAGATTAAGGAAGCTATGCAGATGGATTTTATGCTTGGGGATCTGATCCATATCCGTGGCAAGATTACCACATTTCGCCAAATTAGACAGATTACAGCAAACTTTGCGGGTATGTTTTTTGTTTTGTTTTTTAAACTCTGGAATTTCAAACTGACTGCCTTTTTCCTCTTGGTCATTGGGATTTATACGTCAAGTTTTATTGTGTATGAATCAATCAGTATTGTCACTGAGATTTGTTTTCTTTTTCTTCTTTCTTTTCTTCTTTTTTCTTTTCTTTTTTCTTTCTTTTTTTCTTTTTTTTTCTTTTCTTTTTCTTTTCTTTTTTCTTTTCTTTTTCTTTTCTTTTTTTTCTTTTTCTTTCTTTTTCTTTTTTTTCTTTTTTCTTCTTTCTTTTTCTTTTTCTTTCTTTTTCTTTTCTTTTTTCTTTTCTTTTTCTTCTTTCTTTCTTTTTTCTTTTTTCTTTTCTTTTTCTTTTTTTTTTTCTTTTCTTTTTTTTCTTTTCTTTTTTTTCTTTTTTTTCTTTTCCTTTTTTTTTTTTCTTTTTCTTTCTTTTCTTTTTTCTTTTTTTTTTCTTTTTTTCTTTTTCTTCGTTTTCTTTTTTCTTTCTTTCTTCTTGTTTTCTTTTTTCTTTCTTTCTTTTTTTCTTTCTTTTCTTCTTTTTTCTTTCTTTTCTTCTTGTTTTCTTTCTTTTCTTCTTGTTTTCTTTCTTTCTTTCTTCTTGTTTTCTTTCTTTCTTTTTTTTCTTCTTCTTCTTCTTTTTTTTTCCAGTTGCCATAAAAGTCTCAATCTGAAAATTTTATTTATAGACACGACTTGTGTCCTCAAGTCATTATTTTGGTTTTGTAGTATTGTACAGTGCTTGACAAAAGTATTATGACTACAATTTATGCAATGTTCTACCTCTTTATCTCTTATACTAAATTTGTTGTCTACTGTAATGTTGTGGTTAACAAGCTACAAATCAAGCTTTTAAGTCCAGGTTCATTTCTCAGGTGGTGACCCACTAGAAGCTTATGTCAACCATAGAATGAAAATTCATCATGAAGGCCAGTTCACAAATGTAGTAAATGCAATCACCACTAGATGCTCAATTATAGTCTTGTGCCAGACAAAACTGTGTAAATAACTGTAGGGGTCTGCTATAATACAATGTCAATTAAGCTTGTCTCAAAGATGATAAAAATGAAAGTGATATTTTTTGTAGAGGGGTCAAAATATTTTAACAGTTTAAGTAAAAAAATTTTAAAAATGTACATGTGAAATTTAAAAGAAAAGGTAATTGGATATTTGTTTATATTTCTGAGATGAGGTATTGTAATTATTTCTATTGAAGTTGGAATAATTTGTAATATTATTCTGCTTGTTTGTATGAACTACTGTTATGTTTCATTACCTCGGATCAAAGTGTAGTTTCTGTGCCTGATCACCAAATCTTCTGAGCTGGAATCATTTATGCTTTCTGACCAAGAATCCTAATATAATTATTCTTGTTCCCCCCTTCATTATTTTGAATGACTGTTACACCCTGCTAATACCTTTCATAAATAATGGACTATTCTGTCTTGATTGTATTGAAATAGGGGAAAAGATGATACTTGCTTTCAGTGTTAAAATGAAAGAAGGGAGGATAGAAGGAGAGAGAGAGAGAGAATTAGATTAACCTGATAAGAACAGATACTACATGTAGATCTTAGCCAAAAAGCTGAGGAAAAATGGTGACTATGATAAAAGTGCCATTTTCCACAGCATTGAACAAAAGAAAGATAATTGCCAGAAATCCAGTTACCATATCAAAAAAAAATATCTATTGAATTAAATTATTATTAAGAAAA